ATTTTCTACTCAAGTAACAAAAAAAACTAAAACTAAAAAAAAATAACCCTAAAAAAATAACGCCCAGAAAGTTTCAAATTTACCAACAAAAACTGACAAATAGACAAAATAATTTACTCTCCACAAACACCCAGCAGCTGTGTTTGTGACCGGTTCCAGATGTGCAGGTCGGACTCACCTCTGCAGGTCCGCGTGTCGTCCAGGAAGCTCCGTGTGGCACATCGGGCCGCGCAGACGCCGTGTTGGAGGGGGACGCTCTGGGGCAGGAGAACCTCCTCTGGTTTCAGGCAGCTGAGGCAGTCTGAGGCCAGGGGGCCCAAACAGGACCGGCAGGACGGGTGGCAGTCTGGGAGCACAGAGACGGTCAGGGAGGAGGGAGGGGGAGAACCTTAGGACAGGTAAAGGTGGGCGGTGGTCTCACTGTGGCAGGTGTTGTCCTGAGCGTACAGACCCTCCCCGCACGCCTCCACGCACTGACCCAGGTGCAGGAGGAGCCCACCTGGACAGGAGGTGCAGTGGGAGACCGACGGACCCCAGCAGGAGGCGCAGGAGCTGTGGCAGGCTGAGGGGACAAAGGAGATCTGAAGTCTGCAATACTGATAAAACAAAAAACACAACTTTGTTTATCAAACCTTTTTATTTTAGCTGTTCTTACGTCAAAAATTATACTTTTGCTACAGTCCTGCTTCTTTTAGCTGCTAGCTAGTCTTAAGCTACATTTAGCTTTGAGTCAGCCTTTTGACACTTTTAGCTTTTAGCCGGTCTAACACAACTTTCAGCTTTAATCGGTCTAATACAACTTTCAGCTTTAATCAAGTGTTTTGACTTTTTAAGGTTTTAGCTAACTTTAGCTACCATTCTCCTACTTTTAACTAGTCTTTTACTTCTTTTATCTTAAAGGCAGTCTTTTGCCACTTTTAGCTGGCCTAAAACAACTTTCAGCTTTTATCAAGTGTTTTGCTTTTTTTAAGGTTTTAGCGAACTTTTAGCTACTTTTAGCTACCATTCTGCTACTTTAAGCTAGTCTGTTTTTCATTTTATCTTAAATGTAGCCTTTTGCCATTTTTAGGTTTTAATTAAACTTTGCTACTGTTCTGCTACCTTTAGCTTCTGGCTAACATTTAGTTTATTTTAGCTTTTAGCTAGCCCGTTGCTACATTTATCTTAAAGATAGCCTTTTGCCATTTTCATGTTTTAGCTAGCTGTTTGCTACTGTTCTACTACCTTAAGCTTGTTTTCTTTTTTGTCTTTTTGCTTCTAAATAATTTTCTGCTACTTTTAGCTTTGTACTAGCCTTTCACAACTTTTAGCCTTTAGCTGGCCTTATACTACTTTTAGCTATATTCTTGTTTTTTTTTTTTTTTGCTTTTCTTAGCCTTAACTTAGTGTTTTGTCATTTGTTTTTCTATTTGTAGCTCCCAGCTAAGCTTTTTCTAACATAATGCTAATTTAAGCTTCGACTTCTTTTATTGATAGCTTATCGACAATTTTAGCTTCCAGTTGATTTTAGCTAGCCCCTACAAATTTTAGCTTAATACAAGTGTTTTGCCTTTTCAAACATTTAGCTAGCCTTCTGCTGCTTCTAGGTTTTAGCTAACGATTTAGCTTTTTTAGCTAGTGTAGCTGTAATCACTCACTGGTCACTGGTAAATTGTACCTCTGCACCTGCTGTGGCTGTCCAGATAATGCTGAGTCGGGCAATGAGAAATACATTTCCCATGATGCAGTGTGGTCCCTGTGGGGCAGCTCATACATTTAGGGGCGTCAGGGAAACAGGAGGCGCAGGACGGATCACAAGCTGTGAACCGGAGATGTTGGAGAGACGAAAAACAAAATGTTTGTTTTTTTTAGGTTAAAAATAAAATATTTTAAGACGGAACAAATGAACACAGATACACTGGAACAAATCTTTTATTCTATTGTGATTTTATTTTGTGTTTTTTACCGGAGCAGACGCCGTCCTGGTTGTAGAACCCAGCGCCGCAGTCAGAGACACAAACGCCATCTTTGAGAAGAGCAGCCGGGTCGGAACACGACAAACAATCCTGCCGACTCGGACCGCCGCACTCGGAGCACGACTCTTCACAACCTGGAGAGAATAAAGAGATTTTATTTTAGTTTTGTTCTGGTCTGATTGTCTGTGTGTTTTCAGTTTTTATTTTATTTATTTCACTTGGTTCTCGATCTGAAGAGAGACCCGTTTTAATGAACGGGCGATAATGTATTTACAGGATATCTGCTGATATAAGTTTTCACAGCTGAAACAAAATCAGCTAAAAACACTGAGCTGCAGTTGTAGTGCCTTATTTTAGCTGTTAGTTTTTTAGCTAATGATAGCTTTGTACAAGGAGTCTGCTACTTGTGGCTTTTAGCTACTGTTCTGCTAATCTCTGCTTTTAGCTTATGTTCTGATACTCTTACCTTTTAGCTATCGTTCTGCTAATCTTGGCTTTTAGCTACTGTTTTATTACTTGTAAGTTTTAGTTATCGTTCTGCTACTCGTGGCTTTTAGCTTCTGTTCTGATACTCTTACCTTTTAACTATCATTCTGCTACTACTAGCGTTTAGCTACCTTTCTGCTCTTCAAGGCATTTAGATACTGTTCTGAATATTCCTAGCTTTTAGCTACCGTTTTGCTACTTGTAGCTTTTTGTTATCATTCTGTTACTCAAGACTTTTAGCTACCATTCTGATCCTCCTAGCTTTTTGCTACCATTCTGCTAGTCTCAGCTTTTAGCTACTATTTTCTTACTTTTAGCTAATGTTCTGTTAGCATTCAGCTACCTTACTGTCCTTTGTGGCTTTTAGCTATCATTCTGTTACTCACAGATTTTAGCTATAATTCTAATACTCCTAGCTTTTAGCTTAGCATAACGGTTGGCTTCTAGCTATCGTTTTGCTTCTTGCAGCTTTTAGTTACCATTCTGCTACTACAGGCTTTTTAGCTACTGTTTTGATACTCCTAGCTTTTAGCTACCATTTTGCTACTTGCAGGTCTTTGTTATTATTCTACTACTCAAGACTTTTAGCTACCATTCTGCTAAACTCAGCTATTAGCAACTATTTTATTACTTATAACTTTTAGCTATTGTTCTGCTAGCATTCAGCTACCTTACTGCCCTTTGTGACTTTTAGCTACCATTTTGTTATCCACAGATTTAAGCTATCATTCTTATACTCCTAGCTTTTAGCTTAGCAGAACGATTGGCTTTTAGCTATCGGTTTGCTACTTGTAGCTTTTAGTTACCATTCTGCTACTCAAGGCCTTTAGCTACCGTTCTGCTAATCTTGGCTTTTAGCTACAGATTTATTACTTGTAACTTTTAGTTATCGTTCTGCTCCTTATGGTTTTTAGCTACTGTTCTTCTACTTCTAGCGTTTAGCTGCCTTTCTGCTCTTTGAGGCTTTCAGCTTTGTTCTGCTACTCTTAGCTTTAGCTGCTCTTTGTCCTCCCTCAGGAGGAGTAAACGACACATCAGCAGGTCTTCGCTCTCAGATCGGCTGATAGGAAGCAGGCGTGTCGTCGTCTCACTCGTCGGTTCTTGAGGTTGAGGAAGAGGTTGAAGAGGAGGAGGAGGAGAGACGTGAGGAAATTCACCCGAGGACGATGTAATTAATTTAATCAGTGTCACTTCAAAACACTGATAAAAATCTTAATTAAAGGGAGATCCCAGGAGAGATTAGCGGATCCGGATCTGAGGGGTTTTCAGGCTGCGGTGTGAAATAAATCATCCCGCTCTCTGCCAGGTGTCCTCAGGTAACAAAACTCACAACATTCTTCATTGTTACCTGGATGAACACAGTTGGAGAGCCACTTCAAACACTTGAAAAACATTATTTTCAATTCTGTTTGGTGATTTTCCAGCAGCTCTTCGGTTCAGCTGAACCTGGTCTCCTGCGGCGGCGGGCGATACTATAAAGAACTGAAGAAAGTGACTGTTCTCCTCCCATGATGCTCTCTGTCTCATCTCGGCCTCTGGCTTCTCTTCACCTTTTCACATGTTTAATATTAAACCCATCCTTCTTTAACCGAGCCAGTTGTGCATTAAGGACCAGAGAGGGATCATCATAATAAGCTTTTATTATGAGGAGATAAAACGTCCCGATGAGGAGAACCAAACTCATCCACTAATTTACAAAAAGCTCCATCCATTTAAAAAACAATAAAAATGACCAATTCAACGGGAGCGATTAGGAAAATGGTAAACTCTTCCTCCAAAAGCGGTTACAGCCAACAAGGGGATTACACGCCCTTTACCTTGCCCCTCTCAGGAAAGCAATTTATTTTCCCCGAGCAGCCGAAAGTTATCAGCAAATGTAATCCTACTGGGCCAAATGGCTGAAAACCCAGAGCCTCGGGTGAAACCTGCTCTGTACGGAGGGTGCAGGTGCAGACGAACGAGCGGGGTAATCCTCGGCTCGCCGTCCTCGAAAACCTCCGGCGACGAAACGAGACGAGAGATTCGACAATCTGATTTAGACGGATAAAAAATAAAAACCGGAGCTGCGTCTGAGGTGAGCTTTAACGCCAGGGTTTATTAAAGTCAAACATGTTTGAATTTGTTTTCTAAATTCATTTATCATGAAGCATTTTTTAAAATTATCTATCAAAAATAAATTTTTATCAGTTTAACTGAGGTTGGTTTGCAAAATTAACATCTATAACTTCTGGAACCAACCAGATTCAAGATGGCTGCCACCGTTAGCTGGTATTGGCTAATGGTGGCACACTCTCCCTCTGTCCCTTCACTGCTCAGATTCTACTGACTCTTTTAAGAAACATCTTAAGACATTTTTATTCAGACAGGCTTTTAGTTAAATGCATTTTACTGTGTTTTAGTTATTTATCAGTGTGCATTGCCAATGCAATGCACACTATTGTGATTCGTTTCCATCCAAGTCATCTCAACTTTGCCATGCTTCTCCTCCTGCAAACTTTGTCTTAGAGCTGCCATTGTAATTTATATCTGTAAAGCCCCTGCGCCAAATGAAGGCTATGCCTTTTGGTGCCTGTAAAGCTTATAGTTTATGAAATATTAATGTTTAATGAATTATAATGGCAGTCAATGGAGCCTTGCATTGGTCCAATACTGTCCCATGCTGTACTCAACTTGGTACTGCACCATAGTTTAACATTTCAACTCAGTAGTTCAGTGTTTACAGTACTAATACGATTGTATGTTGATGTTTTACCATAATGTTGTCTTAATACTGCTCTGTTGTTGTAATATTATGCATTTTAGTGTCAATAATTTTATTGGCAATGTGGCCTCTTTCTGCACACATACAAATCAACCCCTGGCACCATCTTCTGCCACAGCTCCATTGGTCTAATGGTCTATGTCATGGACTTACATGTGGGAGATCAGGGTTCAAAACCCAGCTAATGCAACTTTAACAAAAATCTCTTCAAACTTCATATTGTCACCCAATTACCTTAATTACAAACACCTGCTGACGTGACAGGCACAAGCTGGTATAGAAAACACATTTGAACTTGGTCAAAGTTCATTCTGCAAGTCCAATGCTGCAGGCAAAGCCATGCTACGTGGCAATGCACACTTGTTTTTACATTGTAAAAACCCATGTCTAGTTATATTTGTGACCTGTTTTTGTTGTTTTTAGTTATTTTGCTCTCTGTTAAGCAATTTGTGATATTCGTGTCTGTGAAAAGTGCCATATAAATAAAGTTCACTTATTTACAAAAAAACAATATCACAAATATTGAGCTAAAATGTGCTGTGGTAGTAACTGAGAGTCATTCCCAGCTCATATTCTGAGTTATAACCCTGTCTGTTAACAAAATATCTCATGAACCATTGGTCAAATGTCTGGTTGTTCTTCTACGGTTTATTACATTTTGGTTTCATCCAAATTAAAGATGGCCGCCACATTCAAACTCATTTGAGAAAACACAAAAATAAGTTTATAGATATTGGGTTAAAATTGTATCTGGTTGTAGCAAAAACACAGATCTTTGCTTAAAACTTTTAACGTTTAATATTTGTTGTTTCAGATTGACACATTCTGTTTGTTTATTGTTTTCCGTGTTTTAGCTACCTTCCCGTCTGTCAACCTTGGCCCCGCCCACTCTCGCCTGTTCTGAGTTATCATTATTCCAGGTGTTTCTGCTCTACGTCACTTATGTTTTCATCTCTTCCTCAGTCTAGCATTGTGGTTGTTTCACGCCGAGTTCGGTTCTCCTCCGTGTTTTCTCGAGTTATGTCAATTGAAAGATTTGTTGAATAAATTTAAAGTTTTTGGCCGATTAGTAGAAGATTACAGTCCCTCCATTTGCAGAAATGCACACAGAAAATGTTTTTCTCCAACTTGTTGAGATTCTTCTTTTAAAGCTAAGCAGGGAGAAACAAACAGCCGTCCTCATGGTTACCACAAAACAGAACCACCACTTTCGTATTTAAAAAAAAGGTGAAGCACAAAGAGAAAATGACGCGATGTGAAAGAGTTCAGCCTTAAAGCAAACATGAATACAGATGAAAGGACAAGTGTTTATTTTGTGGAGATGGAAACATACTTTTCTTCATAATGGCAGCACTCTTAGGAGAAAAAATGAGCTCAAAACATGATAAAGAACATTTTAAAAAGAGCAGATAACTTTAGGACTGAACACAGGCCAAGATGGTCGGATAAATGAAACTAAATAAAGGAAAATAGGAAGGATAAGCGCCTCATAAATTTAGTAAAACCTCAAGAAGAGCTGAAGGCAAGCAGATGGCTTCCTGGGTGGTCTGAGAATCTGCCAAGAACATTTAGAAACATCTCCAAACATCCAGACTCTCTGAACTCGACGTTAACCAAACCGCAGATATGCAGCGAGACCGCAGCCCCACCCCTCAGAGAAACCAAGAGGTGAAAACAAAAATACTTTCTCATTAAAACCTGGTGCAGATTAAAAGAAGTGGACGGATGAGTGGTCGTGTGAATCCCACGGAGGGTTTGAAAGGATGAAAACCGACTCCGTGGTGCAAATTATTCTCTGTGGTGTTAACATCCGTCTGAATGAAGGGAAGGTGACGAACAGCTGCTGTTCCTGTTCGCAGGTTAGATGGGATTAAAGCTGCCGGGATGAATCCAGTGGATCGGATGAACACGTGAAGCTGGGTTGATGTATTTTTAAACCTTTGTTTTGCTTTATGTTTCACTTTACCTGGTTATTCAGGCAGAACTATGATAGAAAATATGTTTTTTTTTTACACAAAGTTTTTACAGAACTCCACATAAAGAAGTGTAAATATCAGCCTAATAAATGGAAACAAACAGCTTCAGTCCCACGAGGTTCTGGGATACTTACGGTGACAGTGTGTGTGGTCGCGCTGGTAGGAACCAGGAGGACATGCAGCAAGGCACCGGGTTCTGTCGGGGCTCAGGAGGGGCAGCTGGGGTCCGCAGGACAGGCAGTCTAATCTGCTGGAGCAGGTGGCGCAGGACGGCTGACACGCTGAGGGACGGAGGAGGGAAAGGGTCACTTGCACATCTGGTTGAGTATTTTTAATTAAAATAAATCTACGGCAGCCAGTCCTACCTGCACACAGCTGTCCTTCAGCGTAGAAACCCACCGGACAGACGGAAAGGCAGCGACCCAGATGGAGAAAAGCTTTAGGGTCTCTGCAGGTCTCACAGTGGTCAGGAGACCCTGAACAGGACAGGCAGTCTGTGTGGCACAGAACTGTGGGGAAAATGTAAAGAATTGTTTGAAGAGGCTTCATTATAAACAGTTAAAAAGATTATTATCAAAGATACAGATTCTGACATTAAATTTAAATTTAATCCAACTGCATCACATTTAGTGCTGTCAGTGTGAGTTCACAGAGAAGCTTCATGTTGGTCAATGAGCTCCTCTGATGTCATCACTCCACCGGTGAGTTCTATACAGCATGTAAGTGGTTTCTCCATCCATCCATCCATCCATCCATCCATCCATCCATCCATCCGTCCGTCCATCTGTCCACCCATCCACCCATCCATCCATCCATCCATCCGTCCATCCGTCCGTCCATCCATCCATCCATCCATCCATCCATCCATCC